TGAGTCACAAAAAATGAATTTGGCTCACCCTTGCTTATGGAATTATAAACCATACAGGATCTCTGATGAAGGACAATGGAATATTATATTTCTTCAGTTATGGCAAAGAAATTCTCTCAATTTAGCGAAATGTTCTTAGATTGCTCTGATAAGTTTAAATTGATTCCTGTAATCCCAGCAGTTAGGAGGTAGAGGCAGGAGGATCACCATGAGTTTGAGGCTAGCCTGGGCTACATAGTGAGTTCAGAGCCAGGATGCACTACGCAGTGAGACTGTCACACACAAAAAAAAAAAAATCTAGAATGATAAATGAATTCCTTGTATAGCCTATTTTCTTACAAAAAGGAGAAAATCTCAAAGTTGAGTGCAAGGTGATAACTACAAACCTCATTCCTAGCCACAGAGAAATCTGAGAAATTAGTATTTTAATTGTTCAAAGAGTACATGTGCTGTATTTTTTATGATTACGTCTTTAGAGATAACCTCCCTCAAACATTCTTGATTAAGCAGAATGTTTCTTGGCAAGAGCTGTTCTGACTTTTGCAATTTTTTAAAACTACTGTAATCTTAAAAAACAACAAGTAGAGCACAATACTAAGATAAAGAAGAATGAGGAACTGTGCTAAATTTGCTGAGGCATTTGAAGTGCTCTTTTCTACTTAAAGGCCACACTCCATTTAAGGAGTTTTCCCAGAAATATTAATTGTGCTAGAAATGAAGATCTTCACCTGTCAGAATGGTTAACACTCATAACTATAATGCTTGTCACATCCTTAGTTTTTCGAGTTATTAGATTTGTATCTGATTTATGAGTTTGGCAAATATGAGCTGTTTCACACAGATAATTATAATCAGACAGATAATGAAGAGTTTTCAATGGCACATGAACAATTACAAGACAGAAAATAAATACAATAATTGACAATATTAGTTTATATATATAATATTTATGTTGTTTTTATTTAAAACAAATCATTGACCTTCATAATTACAAGCCTCTCTGGCTGCTGAGTTCAGGCATCAGGTTTGCGAAGTCAAGAACTGAATTAAAGTTCTGCATTACCCATTACTTTACTTGATCTCCTGACAGCTACTTTGCATCAGAAAGCCACTAAATATATGCCATTCATTTCATCAGGTTTATAAATGTGAATAAATAGGTAAGACTGGGTTCAGATGGAAAAAAATTAAAATTCTCACCTAAGATATATGTAATGACTATAATAGAAGCCTTGCCTCAGTTAGTCTTCATAACAAGCAGTGAATATTTTCATGTATCATTATCTAATACAGATAGAGGGCTAGGAAATAACAAATGGTCCCTAATCTCTTTCCACACATTCTCAACCTGCCAAATGCAGTGAGTTAAGAATTCTAATAGTTCTTTAGACTACTAGTCCGGTTTTCAATATGTATATGATAACTGACTTCATAAGGAATTATAAAATAAATAAATGAATCTGATGCTGGAAAAATAAAAGGGGGTGGAGTGGGGGAGAAGGAAATTGGAATATGATATGTTCATGTACCAATCCCCTACAGTGAATGTAATCATTATGAACTGAAAACATGTAGTAGTAAAAGTTTTAAAAAGCAGAAAAAATAATTCTAACAGTTTATCGATTACTCTTTGTAGACATTAGAGCGTAATGTGCTGCAGTGTGCTTATCATAAGACAACATCATCAGATGGCAGGTTTATAATAATAAAAAACAGTCTTGATAGTTCAGGATCCTAACTAGCCATATTTAAAACTACATTTCCCCTACTTCTTTATTTTATAATTTTACTACAAAGCACAATGATTGAGCTCTTTCTTATATCTGTGTCAAATTGTACAGCCTTAGCACTAAGAAATGCCTGGCACTCATATATACAAGTGTCCAATAAATGAGTCTCAATAAACAAAGGAAAGGGTAGCATTAACTGGTTTCCACATAGTGGGATTATTAACATATGACTTGAAAGTACTGATTAATATGAAGTACAAAGGAAAACCTTGTTAGATAATTTTGAATAGGTTAATAATAAATGAAAAGCCAGAATATCTTCCAGCCTAAAAGAATTATTTCATAATTTATTTTTCATATAAGGAAAAAATAAAGAATCAAGGGAGTTTTTTGTTGTTGTTTTGGCTTTTATTAGCATATAGTAACATTATTATTGGGTGAAAATTCATTTTTGAGCCATGGACATTTTTGAGAAATAAGGAAATATGAATTGTTCTACATTTTATGATTCAGCCTGCCATGAATTTTGAGTGTACATGTATGTGCCTTTTCCTATGTCTGTTCACTTGCCACTTTTAAGTCTACTGCTCAATATCGCATTAATCATTTTTTGAAATTTCTAATATTCTATACTTGACAATTTCTAATTTCCATTGACATTTTCTCATTACTAATCTCATGCGATCCTTAAGTGTTATCGATAGTTGAAAATGGGTCAACAAATGCTCTTTCAAACCATTTTTAACGATCTCATCAGGAGTAGATTTGTAATAATCAATAGCCTGACAATTCTTTGACATCTTTTGGAGCCATATTCTAAGCAGTACTTAGAAAAAACAAACAGGATAAAAGGTATTGGTACACAACTAGGTGACATTTTTCTCTTTTCTCCTTTATTCACTATGTCTGGTAAAGACTTATGAATTTTATAAATATCTAAACAAAAGCACTGAGCCTTGCTAGTGTTTTAGACTGTGTAGCACATCAAATATGTACCATTTGTTAAAAGGTAAGAGCTTTAATTTGGATCAAACAGTTAATGTAGGATATTTAGCTAAAATGAAATGAAAATTTTTAGGTAACAGTTATATTTGGTTTTCATATCTTAGAAAATTGTCTCAACACTCTAACACAACATAGATTTCATTACTCAGTGAATGTCAGGTAGTAACTATTGGCCAAGGTCTCTTATAATTTATGAATTACTGTTGAAGTGCATAGGCATAGCAATGCCACTGAAAGAATTGTCAATGGAGAGCTTCAAAGTCCTGATTCATAATCTCAGACTTGAAATTAACCTCAGAGTTCATCTAGCCCAATTTCCCTATTTCAAAAATATCAGAACCCAAATCCAGGAAGCTTGGGACTTGTTCAGGGTCACAAAGTCTAGTGGATTAATTAACAAAAAACATGTTTGCTGCATCAGACTCCTAAGCCAGGGTTCTCTTCATTTTACTTCCTGGCAATAGTATAAATAAGGTGTTTTTATTTTATGAACTTGTATCTCTTAAGGTCTTTAATATTTGCATATATCCAAAGATACTACAACAAAACCAGTTACAGATCCAGGTCAAAATTTCCATGAAAAACTTCCTAAACATTGTATTACCCTGAATAGGTCATGAGAGTCAATTTTTTTTTTTTTTTTTTTTTGGTACCGGGGATTGAACTCGGGTCCTTGTGCTTGCAAGGCAGGCAACCGAACCGCTAAGTCCCCCGGCCCTTGAGTGGGAAACTTGATGTCTATAAAACTAGTCTTACCTACTCCTGGTTATGGACAAAAAGTTTGCATCACTTATTTGCTGGTTATGGACAGAAAGTTTGTATAGAAGCTAAAAATTCACAAACTTCATTCTACAACAATGGTCTGGGTTGACTGAAGATACTAGTCTTCCAAAGGTGGCCTTTTCTGAGATCGTCAGTAAATAACACATCATATTGCAGCGTATCACTAATTTCCATACTTAGCAAGTGGAATTTATGTAATGTGCTTATTGCAAATATTGTGGGGGATTTGTTTTTACTGCTTTGCCATTCCACAAAAGAGAAAGGTGTGAAAGACTATAGAATAGTACACAGGGATATATCATTTGCAAATGTGAAGGGAAAATAATTTTATGGGATAATTTTAATGGGGTTAACTTTTTCCAAAAACAAAACAAAACAAAACAAAACAAAAACAAGCTTAAGTTTTATTACACACCACTTTAGCATTCACAACTTTTCACTCTGGAGGTAAGTTAGCAAGACAAGGTCATAGAAAATACTGGAAATTAATTACAAAATTTATGATGGCAGAATTGTCTAGAGAGATCTTCTGCAGAGCAATCTGTCTCCAGCTTCTAAAAACATTTTCAAAATTGCTTTAAAACACATTTCAAAGGTTTTAATGGGCTATTTACAGATATACATTACTTTGTGTGAAATAAAGCCGCTTGTATTGAAATACTCAAGAAGTATATATATTTTTAAAGAAGTATATTTTTATTAGGAGTAATTTGTTGGTAGGCACAAAAGCACTTACTCAAATCCAAAGTACCTTAAAGATGGGTCCGTATACTTCGTTTTACTAGGACACAATCTCAAGCAGAAAACAAAACCAAACAAAAACTTTCAAAGTCATTTCTCAAATCTGCCCAACTCTGCTTTTTTCCAGTACAGCACCGGTCAACAGTCCCTAAATTCCTAAAACCCAGCAACTCCTCCTTGCAAGTTCAACTCTACAGGCTGACCTCCCCGAAATCCTGACCCCATCTCTCCACCAACATTATACTGGGAGTTTCTACATTTCAGAAGTTTAATTTCACCAAAACCGAATTTTCGTCCTCATTTATTTGACCTTTCCTTCTTGATCTCAGTGCCATTCTTTCCTTAACACTCCTTTCCTTTCCCTGACCCTCTGCATCCAGTGAATTTTTACTTTGCCTCCACTCTTCCCAAATCACACTTCAGCAAAATCGCAATCTGGCTGGGACCGAAAATGATGTGAGGTTTTCTCCCCCGTTCAAACTTGTCTCGTGAGTACCTGCGATTCCTTTGCTTGTGGACCCCATCTTTTGCCGAGGGGGACGTAGGGCACCCCTGTCTCCTACAGCCCGTCGAGCGCGTTCCGGACTAACAGCACGGGGCAGGACGAGTTTGGCCGTTACTGCGCCACAGCAGGTGGGGGGTGGGGCAGTGGCGAACCGCGCCCAGCCCGATCTCGGACGGGCTGACAAGAGGCAGCGAAGTTGATGGAGCCGCCCCCGCACCCCGAGACCGGGAACTCACCTTCTCTGAGGCAAGGGCGAGTGGCTACTTTAAAACTACTGCCCCACCTCCCCGCCGCCGATACAGCGGAGCCGGCGCCGCCGCCGCCACTGTAGCTACAGCCAGCGGCAGGCGGGCAGTCAGAGGTGGAGGTGGTGGAGGAGGCAAGCATAACCTGCCTCCGCCGCCGCCAGCTGGAGGAAGGAAGAGACGGTAGAGATGGTAGCTTCCTGAGGGTAAGACTCCTCCGCCAGAGACGCGACTGTGCTGGCGCCAATGCCTTCGCAAAGCAAGGGCGAGGCGCCTACAACTGCACTGGCGCCTTGCTAGGTTAGGCTGCTTTTAGCCCCGCCTTCATTTTAGCCCCGCCCCCGTCACCCCTCTTCATAGCTTCCCCCAAGCGAGTTTCTAGCTCCTTCTGTCCACCAATGGGAACAATGTATACCCTCAAGATGCCTGCCCTCCTCCAAAGCTTGGAGTCACTGTCTTCCTTAAGGGTAAGAAATGATGGTCAAGGGCAAAGGAAAAAAAAGCAGGGGGTGAAAGAGCATTTGTGCCTCTAACAGTGAGGCCTCTTCCCTTGGCAGATCTAATCTAACATAGTTTAAGAAAAAAATTATGAAAATCTATTGATCCCACCTCCGAAGTACACCTAAAATAGCTCCTTAGTACAGACATAAATAGAACATACATAAATAAAAACTTTAGTGACTGCATGTTGTCTTCATGGTCATGTAAGTGACTGCTATCTAACATCCACCCATAGTAAGTTAAACAAATTCCCATGAATCTGGTATCCAATGGAAGAACCACGGTATTATCGATAATTTAGTTCTCTGTATCACATTTTCCCTCAACCTCCCTGTAATCTTAATGTATATTTATTATTTCCTTGCTCTTTTAACATATTTTCTTGTCATATATGCTTACATAGAGTTGTTTACTTTTTTTGTTTGTTTGTTTGTTTTAGTTTTGCCAGAATCCAACTCAAGGCAGCACACTTGCCAGCCGGGCACTGTGCCACTGAGCTACATCCCCAGCCCCTTGTTTAGTCTTGACTGTTTTCAAATTTCACAAAAAAATTCTTTTTCCAGAATTCTGGGACTTGTATCTTTCACTCCGTACAGTATTTTGTTTGTAAAATACATCCATATCTATAGTTTTTCCCCACAAATGGTGTAGAATATCCCATCCAGTTCCTTGTGAGTGGGTTTACATCGTTGTACATTTGTGCAAGTTTCTCCTGGGTAAGCTTTTTTGTCAGTCTTACTTCCACTCTGTATTTCAAGTCCTTATCATGTCTTACCATCCCTTGAAACTTAGATGTTAAATCATGGCCTCCAGGTAACCTGTTCTGCTCTTGTTTAAAATTCATACCACCCTCTTCTGAATTGCACCTGTATCTGATGCATATTTTTATTGTAATGAATTATACGTTTTGCCTTTCTTCTCCATTGCCTGGGGCCATTTTGAGACTGAAGACATTTTATGTTATCTCATTTTATTTTTAACTCCCCTTGCTTTAGCCTAGTAAGGTTCTAAGACAAAGGTCAAAAAGCAGTGGCCTTTCAGGCCTAGGTCCCTTAGTCCCTACTTCTAGTTCACAGTTGTTTTACTTGTACAGATTTTTACTTTCTCAACAGCATTTAAAAGGTGTTTTTGGTAGCAGCCATTCTTTGTGGGGTGAAGTGAAATCTCAGTGTTGGTGGGGTTGTGGGGAGAAAGGAACCCTTCCCCATTGTTGGTGGGAGTACAGGATGGTGCAACCACTATGGAAATCAATATGGAGATACCTCAAAGAGCTGGGACTAGAGGTTCCATTTGACCCAGCCATCCCTCTGCTGGGTATCTTTCCAAAAGAATTAAAAGAATCATACCACAGTGATATATGTGCACCTGTATTTATAGTGGCACAGTTTGTAATAGCTAAAACTTGGAAACAGCCCATTTGCCCATCAGTTGGAGACTGGATAAAGAAGATGCGTTTTTTCTATAAAATGGAATACTACTCAGCCATAAAGAATGAGAAATTAGATTCATTCGTAGGAAAATGGATACATATTGAGGATATACTCCTAAGTGAAATAAATAAGTCACACATGTGTAAATACCGAATAGTTTCTCTGGTGTGAAAAACTATAACGGTACATAAGATACTAATGATATAATTGACAATGTGAAATAGGAAGAAAAGGGCTCAAGGTTTAGGGGAAGTGGGACGGATAGGGGAAAGGAAAGAAGGGAAAAGAAAAAGTGCGAAAATGAAAAAATGGAAATAAAGTATTTGTAAATAGGGAAGGGAGGAGGGGATGAAGGGAGGGCAGGGACAAGGGAAAAAACGAGAACCAAGACCCGTCATGTAAAGGTACAAGATCCCAGTAATGAATGTAACTGTACTGTATACCTAAATATACCAATAAACTCAATGAGAGGAAAAAATAAATAAATAAAAAAAAGGTGTTTTTGGTGTTACCCTTCCCCAGAAGCTCTGTTTGAAGATTGGCAGAGTGACTGTACATTTCTGACTGGTAACAACCACTGGTTGAAACTGAATAACAAATTCAGAAAGTTGGTGTGCTGGGCTCATAACACTTTGTCTTTCTGTAGATATTCTGCTTCATTATCCAAGATTACCTGAGCCCATGGGTAGTTTCTTTAATCTTCCATCTTGTCCTCTTATAAGTTATTGTAATTCTTAATCACATAAATATAACAAATATTATGCCGAAATAGTGGGATAATGTAAGAATAGAAGTGGGATCCAATTCTGTTCCTTCCAATATGAAAGGGGAAGTGCCTCAGAAGCATTAATTCTCAAAATATGAATCACAGTTCATTTGTATAAGAAATATTAAATCTGAATATTTGAGAATGTGTCACTCAACATTTAGTCAGCAAAAGAGAAGTTCACTAGGAATTTTAAACAGAAAAGTCTAATGCTGGAATTGGGTACCCAAAGGAATTGGAAAGATCACAAGAGTAAAATCCAGGGAACTTTCCCACATATTTTCCGCTGGCACTGGGAAGTCTTTTCATCACTTTTATGCTTTCCTGTGTTGTAGAAGCTGGAATCCTATAAATTACATTTCCCAGACATCTTGGCCAGCAGGATCGCGAATATGGTTTAGGCCTCAACAGTGACATGCATCACTGTGATATTTTTATATAGAATAGACATAAAAGCCATTTTATGTGGAATTCATGTGAGATAAGCATGAAATTTGGGGAGTGGCTTTAGTATTCCTTCATTACAGGCTTTTGAGGATCTGTGAGATTAGAGTAACAGTGATTCTGTGCTGTTCCCTGACCTGTGTATAGCAACAATTAAATCATTCAACAGATATTTGTTAAATTCTGGAATTACTTTGTCTTTCTTAGGCTCCATGTAAAATTCTGTGTCTGCTTTTCAAATAGTAAAAATGAGACTATAATGCATGAAATAAAACAGTAGTTAATTTTCTTCCCATTCTTCAGGTATTGTTAGCTTCTAGTCCAGTATTTTGCTAGCTATAGCTAGGATCTAGACCGGAATTTTCAGGGCAATGACCTAAGCTTACAGGAAAAACAACAACAACAAAAACAACAACAACAACAACAAACTGTGTCCTGTTAAATAACTAAGTCTGCCTCTAGAGTTGCTTTTTGTTTCTGAAAAAGCCTGCCACAGAAAATTGTAAAGTGACCTAATCATGCACTTTGAACCAAACTAAATTCTCATCCTTTTAGTTGACCTAGAAGTGAACCTTACTTATTGTAATACTATGCTCTCCACCAAGGATGGGCAAGCCCCCCATGTTTTGAACATGGGATGTATGAAAAAGCATTACATCAAACAACATGCTCAAGAATGTGTCTGCTTCTATGTGATAGCAAGTCATTCATGCAGGAATTCTTGTTTCTCCAGTAAAAGACTGGGGAGGCATTTCTTAAAGAATGATCCTTAGTGTTCTAATTTCCTGTAAAAAATTCTCTTTACTTATTTATCTCCTGGTTGTACTTACTGGCTTCGCATTCTCCAAAAAGTGAATGCAATGTGTTAAGTTACACTATAACATAAAAATATCACCAGATTTTAGTCATACACTATGACAATAAGCCCACACTTTTCTTTCTTTCTCTTATACTTGTCATTGCTCTCTGTGACAGTAATGCTATTAAATGAATGCCAAAGTGATGTAATTTTTTTTTCACAGAAAGAGAAAGTGGAATGTGGTAGAGAGTAAAAATTATGAAAACTTGCTATGGGCTAGACATTTCTGATAATTTCTCAGTGGTTACACAATGGTGATTAATACTGAGCTCATTAATACCATTTAAAGAATGCAAAACTCAGTCTTATGAGAGGAATTAACTTTTCCATGATTTTTAACAACAATTTAAATGGTCTGTTTATGCCATTGGGCCAGAGGGAAGAGAATTTTAATTGCTAACCCCTCACATCATATAAAATGAGGTGAGGAAGGGGATGGGGGGAATTAGGTCTAAGAAGGAGGTTAGAGGTAGCAAAATAAGTACAGGAACATAATTTTGCATATATGAGAAGTCACTAAAAAACCCAAAGCATGTTATTGTTTCTTTCATTATATTGACAGTGAAATATATGCCTGCCTTATTTTGAATAATATGATAAAATTTTAAAACTCATTATTACCACATAATACATTTAAAGACATTAGAAAACAGAAAAATGATTATAATTTCATAGTATATGACTTATATTATTGAATGAATCTGACTGGGAAGAACAGAAATGTTCAATTATATAAAAAAACAATTCAATGACAAAAAACTATGGCAAATATCCAAATTGTTCAACACCACTAAAATTAAAGAAAAGCAAATAGATACATTGAGATATACAAATAAGATGTTTAAAATAGGGTAAGTGTGGTGGTACACCTCTGTAATCCAAGCACTATGGGAGGCTGAGGCAGGAGGATTGCAAGTTCAAGTCTGGAAGATTTGGAGAATTAATAAGACTTTTGTTGTGGGTTATCTCTGGAATGTCCTCACCAAACTCTCATATACTCAGATACAGTTTTTTAAGGGTACTTGGACTATGGGGACACTGTACCCGTGGGTGGATTCTCTACTGGTGAGTTCAGCAGGTGAATGTACTGTTATGAGGTGGATCTTGATTCAGAAGTTGGGGGAGTATGACCTGCAAATGTGTATCTTCATCCCTGTCTCTTCCTTTCTCTGCTCGCTGGCTCCTGTGATAGGAGCAGCTTTTTCTCCATTACTAGGCCCCTCTACCATACTGTTTCTGCCTTGAAGCCAGCTGACCATGGAACTTAACTGTGAGCTAAAGTGAGCCTCTCTTCCTTTAAATTGTG